CTATCAAAGACGTGGAGATAAAAAATGGCAAGGTGCCATTTAGGGGTCAAGATGATTACCATTAAGTACTTTCTGTAACTACCTACAAAATAAAATCAGTAAACATTTACGAATAAAAATTCTGCTAAATCTGCATATTATAAATGTTTGGGACATCTTTGAATACTCACAAAAAATGTAAGCTGGTAGATTCCAGAGGGAAATAGGGTACCTGAGGGACATCACTTTTTGTCTGCAAGGGGAAATACAGGCTGATACCAGATGACATTAGATCTTAAACAGGTTCCCAGAAAGAAAAGTGACTTAACTTCTACCGGACACAGGCCCAGTGCAATTCCAAACTTACTACAGGCTCATAATAAGTTTATTACATAAAACTCATTATATAACAGCCAAAATGGTAAATCCATGAGCTCTGAAGCCAGACTATCTGGGTTTGAATTCCTGCTCCACCACTCAGCACTTTTTAAGCGACTTCCTAACTAGGGGCAAGTTACTTAACCTCTCTGGACTTCTGTTTCCACTTGATGAAATCAGGAAAGTAATAACATCCATTTCACAAGGTTACTGTGAATCACAGGGTTACTGTGAGGAACTCAACTATGCAAAGTACTCAAATTATACTTGGCACATAGTGAGCACCGAATTAACTATTTGCTACTACTAGCAGTACTATCTCTCATTACAGCTTTACAATAAACTATTGAGGAAGGTACCATTTTTGTTTTTTTGTTTTTAAAGAGACAGTCTTGTTCTGTCACACAGGCTAGAGTGCAGTGGCACCATCACGGCTCACTGCAGCCTTGACCACTTGGGCTCAAGTGATCCTCCGACCTCAGCCTCCCAAGTAGCTGGGACCACAGGTGCATGCCACCATACCCGGCTAATTTTTAAATTTTGTTTTGTAGAGACAGGGTCTTGCAATGTTGCCCAGGTTGGTCTTGAACTCCTGGTCTCAAGCAATCCTCCCACTTCAACCTTCCAAAGTGCTGGGATTACAGGGATGAGCCACCACGCCTGGCTGGTATCATTATTTTTACCACTTTTACTGATGATGAAATTGTGGTTTGCAGAAGTTAGGTAACTTGGCCAAAGCCCTTTGGTGAAATTAGAGTCTATGTGATTCCAAACCCAAGCTCTTAATAACTCCATATATTGCTTCATGAAGGCCAAGAACATAAAGCTTTAGCAACCAGGCAATGGGAAGCCACTAAAGGATTCTAAATGGGAATATGAGTCATTAAAGCAAGGTTTTACTTGCAATAGGAAGGAGAATAAACCATAACAGGGACCAGAAATTGGACGGGCTGTATGCACAGAGAGCCAAGAGAAGCCTGTGAAAAGGTACTGGCTGGAGGTGGTAAGGCCCTGAACTAAGGAGGACAGCAAACGAAATACAAAGAACATTAAGAGAAAAACACATGGCAAAGGAGAGCTCAACAGGTGGGCTCCTGGGGAAGCATAGCAAGTGATAGAGAAAGGGAATGACTGGAACCTGGTCAGCTATCCCTGACTCTTAAGAAGAAGGTCTATAGTGAAAGCATACTAAGAAAATACTAAGAAAATTGGTCTGCTCTGGCTTGTTCTGGGAAATGATGTAACTGTGTCAGTCTGCAATAAAAAATCTTCCTAGTACCACCCAGGAGAAAGAAACACTGAAAACACAGGCTGAATCAAAGGGGGTGAAGGGAAACCTCAGGTAAGTAGATTATTAACTGGGATATGTAATTTCTTGAACAACTTACTACACTGAAAGTTCTGCGTAAGCTTAGGGGAAAAAAAATCCAGATTCCATGATAATATTTTTCTTAAATAAAGATGGATTCACACACAAAAAACCAAAACCAAACCAAATCCCATTAATACTGCATATAAGAACAAAGTGCAGACCACATTACAGGGTCAAATTTTCAGCATGAATTTTTCTGAACTAAAGAAATAATACAAGAGCTCTTTCTAAATTTCCACAAAAAACAGGGTACATGAATTTCAGTGAGGATAACACATGCATTGGCCAGGTGTGGTATAATCCTAGCAACTTTGGGAGGCTGAGGTGGGAAGACTGCTTGAGTCCAGGAGTGGCCTCAAGAGACCAGCCTGAGCAATACAATGAGATCCCATCTCTACAAAAAAAATTAAAATTAGCTGGCATGGTGGTGCATGCCTGCAGTCCCAGCTACTAGGGAGGCTGAGGTGGGAGGATCACTTGAGCCCAAGAGGCCGAGGCTGCAGTGAGCTGTGATTGACCACTGCACTCCAGCTGGGTAACAGAGCAAGACCCTGTCTCGAAAAACAAAAACAAAATGAAGAACACACGTTAACTTATTTAATCTTTGGTTCATTCAACAAAGATGCACTGAGGTTCCACTGAACCTCAGATTTTCGTCTTTCAACTTACAGACTCTTTCAACTTGCTAAGGCTAGATTTTGTTTTTCTTCTCTGGAAGATAAAATAAACATCAATGGCTTATCTGTGAATTCACCATTTTTGTTTTTTTGAGATGGAGTGTTGCTCTGTTGCCCAGGCTGGAGTGCAGTAGCATGATCTCGGCTCACTGCAACCTCCACCTCCCAGGTTCAAGCAATTCTCCTGCCTCAGCCTGCCGAGTAGCTGGGATTACAGGTGCGTGCCACCATGCCTGGCTAATTTTTCTGTTTTCAGTAGAGACGGAGTTTCACCATACTGGCCAGGACACCATGATCCGCCCGCCTCAGCCTCCCAAAGTGCTGGGATTACAGGTGTGAGCCACCGCGTCTGGACAAATTCACCTTCTTACACACTAAGCCTAAAGGGTGGTGGTGTGGTCAGTCACTTAAGGCAACAGCAGGCCCCTCTGAAAGCACGAGGTTCTGGGAAATGATGCAGCCTGCGGGAAATACATGCAGGCAGCTATTTCTGAAAGTATTCAGTATTTGCTAGAATATGTAATTCCTTTAATATTTTCAAGATTTATTAAAAATAATTAGGAGATTCTTCCCAAGTTTTAACAATATAGTTTTGTTTTGTTTGTTTTTTTAAAGAGTTTAGAGTTGCTGCTAAATGTTACAAATAATACAGTAGTCTTATCTGGGGATCAAATAATTCCAGTTAACATACTAATTTCTACCCTCACCACATAACCTCTTCTACATTAAAGTTGTTCATTTGAGATATTAGCCTGTCGAAATAATGAATAAAAATGCTACTATTTGAAAGCTAAGGGCAAACAGATTCAGTACTAAACAAAAGTTAGCCACAAATCTAGGCCCACATGTAAACCTAGCATAATACTACATAGAAGCGCCTCAATCCAACTGACATAGAAGACACTGTAGTGAACTTTTCTCTCTCCAGCCCTCTTCTCAAGTAACATCGGTAGTGTTACAGAATAAGCTGCCAATTTTCCGTACAAGGCTGGGCACAGTGGTTCATGCCTGTAATCCCAGCATTTAGGAAGGCAGAGGCAGGCAGACTGCCTGAGCTCAGGAGTTTGAGACCACCCTGGGCAACATGGTGAAACCCTGTCTCTACTAAAACTATAAAAATTAGCTGGGCGTGCTGGCAGGCACCTATAGCCCCAGCTACTCAGGAGGCTGCAGTGAGCTGAGATCGCACCGCTGCACTCCAGGCTGGGTGACAGAGCAAAACTCCATCTCCAAAAAAAAAAAAAAAAAAGTCCGTACAAAAGGAAAAAGTGAAGAGATGAACATACAGGCAGCCTAAACAAAGTTATCTGTATACAAATTCAACAGAAATATCAAAGATGCTTTTACTACACAAATTTAAACTTCAAAATTTTTATGGGCGGCCGGGCGCGGTGGCTCACGCCTGTAATCCCAGCACTTTGGGAGGCCGAGGCGGGCGGATCACAAGGTCAGGAGATCGAGACCATGGTGAAACCCCGTCTCTACTAAAAATAGAAAAAATTAGCCGGGCACAGTGGCGGGCGCCTGTAGTCCCAGCTGCTTGGGAGGCTGAGGCAGGAGAATGGCGTGAACCCGGGAGGCGGAGCTTGCAGTGAGCCGAGATTGCGCCACTGCACTCCAGCCTGGGCGACAGAGCAAGTCTCCGTCTCAAAAAAAAAAAAAAAAAAAAAAAAAATTTTATGGGCAGTAAGTAGAATACATACTGATTCCATGCAGAAAACTGGAATGGGCAAACACTGCTAATTAGGAGGAATTCTTCCAACTATGCATACTTTCATTCTACAGATGTTTACTAGAGCATCATCTCTAAGCCTGACCCTACTTGAGGGTTTTCTTCTGGTAGGGCAACTGAACAAAACACACATCTAATACAGTTATTTCTACATGAGTTAAACATTTCCATTTTTTCCACAGCTTTACTGAGGTACAACTGACAATAAAAACTGAATATATTAGTAGTGTACATGTCTTGAAATATGTGTACACTGTGAAATTACCACAAACAGCTAATTAACCTAATCCAGTATGACAATAATATAGACTCTGTGTGTGTGTACATGATGAGAACATTCAAGATCTACTCTGTTAACAAATTCCAAGTATACAATACAGTAATGTTAACTATAGTCATCATGCTATTAGATCCCCAGAATTTAACCACTTTATAACTGAAAGTTTGTACACAACTCTTCAATTATCTATTACTCACTCTCCATCCAAGGATACTTAGTAAATAAACCCAGTAAGTTATTTCTTCTAAATTACTTCCTAATGAACTAAGTGGGATTTTTTTAGTAAAGATATTGAACAAAAACAACTTGATTGTACCATGTCACATACCTTAAAAAAAAAAATGACATGCAAAAAACGTATTCCTGACAATTACATATTGCTCCCTTCACAACAAAAAATGTCATTAAATACTGACTTAATAACAGTTCGAAATGTTATGCAGATATATATGTAATACATATATTACATATATATTATGCACTGATACATATGTAATATATATACATATTCGTAAACAGCAATCATGTTGAAAGCCTAGCCAATAAGGTACTAGGGCCTAGGGGCTGCGTCAAAAGCCTCACCTGTCGAATGATACTCTTCACACAACGTACTGGGAGGCCTTGATAGTTGGATTTGATGATCCACTTGAGGAGATGGTGGCCAAGCACTTCGAAGACCATACAGACATCTGGGACACAGTTAAGGATTGTTTGTGGATGCACTGCCTGGAGTGAGGCAGTTACCGAAAGCAGCATCATTGTGTCACTTGCAAAGCACTTACTACTCTATAAAATACAACATCAACACTATCAATAATACCAAAAGTGAGCAAACGTTGTGTCTCACTTAAATAACAAGCACTGACATTACTAAGCACAGTGGTTTCCCAGTATCTCAGGGAACTGGTTCCAGGACTGCTCTCGAATACCAAAATCCACACATGCTCGTCTCTTCAGGAAACTGGTGTAGTATACATATAACCTATTCACATCCTTCCATATACTTTATTTTTATTTTTTTTGAGACGGACTCTCGTTCTGTCGCCCAGGAGCGCAGTGGCACGATCTCAGCTCACTGCAAGCTCTGCCTCCTGGATTCACGCCATTCTCCTGCCTGAGTCTCCCAAGTATCTGAAACTACAGGTGCCCGCCACGACGCTCAGCTAATTTTTTGTAATTTTAGTAGAGACGGGGTTTCACTATGTTAGCCAGGATGGTCTCAATCTCCTGACTTCATGATCTGCCCGACTTGGGTTCCGAAAGTGCTGGGATTACAGGCGTGAGCCACCGCGCCCGGCCCATATACTTTAAATCATGTCTAGATTACTTATAATACCTAATACAATGTATATGCTCTGTAAATAGTTGTTATACTCTATTTCTTAATTTCTATTACTTTTTACTGGTGTTTCCCAAATGTTTTTCATCCAAGGTTTATTAAATCTATGAATGGGGAACCCGCAGATACAAAGGGCTAAGTGTACTTACTCTGTGTCATGTATTATTTCACATGTACTCCAAACAACCTTAGGCAATAATGTAATTAACCCCACTGTAGGCATGAGGACATGGCACTTTCTAGGTGTAGAATGCACTTAGAAAGTGCCAGGTGGCTGAGCCACACTACTGAAGCCTACACTGAGCGGCACTCTCACCCATCTCAGCACACTTCCTGGAAATCGGCCTAATGAAACAGGCAAAACTGAAACCTCCTAGGAACTGACATGTAACAAATACAGAGCTTCAGTATCTTAAGTGTCCTCACTGCCTGCCTAAATTTCTACTTGATAAGCTACTTAAAACAAATTATAAAATAAAAATTTAGTAAACACAGTTAAGACCTATTTAATCTTTTCCTTTAATAATACCTTACATTATACAACTAGATCAATTTTAATACTATAGGCAGGTGTTAAGAATGTATGATCACCATTTAAGACATGGTATTAAGACTTAATCTATAATAACAACATCTCAGGAATCTGGATTTTCTTTTCTTAAAAAGACAAGGTCTCATTATGCTGCACTGGCTGGACTAGAACTCCTGGGCTAAAGGTATTCTCTTGCCTTAGCTTCCCAAGTAGTCAGTACTACAGGTGAAAACCACCATGCCCAGCTTAATTTTTTTTTTGAGACACAGTCGTGTTCTGTCACCCAGGGCTGGAGTGCAGTGGCGCAGTCTCAGCTCACTGCAACTTCTACCTCCCGGGTTCAAGTGATTCTCCTACCTCGGCCTCCCGAATAGCTGGGATTACAGGCGTGTGCCACCATGCCCGGCTGATTTTTCTAGTTTTAGTAGAAACAGGGTTTCAACATGTTGGCCAGGCTGGTCTCAAACTCCTGACCTCAAGTGATCTGCCCACCTTGGCCTCCCAAAGTGCTGGGATTACAGGTATGAGCCACCACACTTGACCCCAGCTTAATTTTTTTAAAAAACAGGTATTTCAGCCTTCACAACTATGACATCTCCAATTTCATTATATATTCATATCATTTATACAGGAAGATTTCAAATGGCTCTGAAACCTTTTGAGAACATTTTGTTCATCCCTGGAGTCTTACAGTTGACTTTAGAATCAAAAAAGTAGTTGATTTGATCAACTATAATAACTGAATATGCTACATTAAAACAGTATTATTTTAAATATTTTTAGTGAAAATGAGAAAAATCTTTCTATCCTGTTGAAGAATGTAAGCGCTACAGATTTATGCGCAGATAATCTAAAGCCAGAAGTTTCTTACTATTTCCCAGGATCATTACAAAAATGGCAGATTAGTTAAGGACTAAATTTAGCAGCAGGCATAGGGCGAGGCCCAGGATATCCAAAACATAATCTAAGTCTTCTCAAAGCACTGGCACATCTGGACTATGATGATTACTTAGCATTTTGCTTCAGAGTAAAAATAGCCACTAGAATGTATATTTCAAAAACCTCTATTTACCCACGAATTAAGTAGTTTCTCCAAAGAAATGTTCTGTTAGCTGTCCCACAAACGACCCTGCAGGTTGGACACGAAAGAAGTGACTGCTCTGCCGCTATCTACTTACCGATTTATCTATCTAAAGGGAAAAATATACTCAGGAGTTAGCAGAAATTAACTGGAGAAAAAGAATGAGGTAATATTAGCAGCCACTGGTACGTCCTAGTATACTAAAGATGAATTTCTAAAAGAAATATGAGGGATTTTCAAAAAGTTTATGGAAAATGTGTATTTTGAAAACACTATGCATAGATTTCAAAAAATTTTTTGCACCAAAATAAACTCATACTAGTTTGTTAACATATCTGAACAGGATCTAGTTTGAGGCACTCACAAGATAACATACCAGTTTGAAAAAAGCCTCTACCAGAGCAACATGAATTCTAAAATCGAAGCAATAACAAACATCAAAGTTATGATGAAGCTTGGGTGAAATCACTGATGCTTTATGGTAAGTTTAAGGGGACAATATCCCAAAGAAATCGGCAGTTTTCAAGTCAATAACCCGTTTTAAGAAGGGATGAGATAATGTTGAAGATGAAGCCTGCAGTGGCAGACCATTTGCATCAATTTGTGTGGAAAAAGTTTGCGGCTGGGCGTGGTGACTCACACCCGTAATCCCAGCACTTTGGGAGGCTGAGGCGGGCAGATCACCTGAGGTCGGGAATTTGAGACCAGCCTGACCAACATGGAGAAATCCTGTCTCTAAAAAAAATAAAAATAAAAATATAAAATTAGCCAGGTGTAGTGGCACATGCCTGTAATCCCAGCTACTCGGGAGGCTGAGGCAGGAGAATCTCTTGAACCTAGGAGGTGGAGGTTGTGGTGAGCCAAGATTGCACCATTTCACTCCAGCCTGGGCAACAAGAGCAAAATTTCACCTCCCGAAAAAAAAAGTCTGCACCCTAATTGAAAAGGACAGATGACAGAGCAAACAACAGCCAACACCACAGACATCATGACTGGTTCAACTTACACAATTCTAATTGAAAACTGAAGTTGAGCAAACTTTCCACTCAATGGATGCCAAAACCACTGTTCCCAGATCAAGACAAGAGCAGAGCTTTCAATGGAAATTTTAAACAGGTAGGATCAAGATCCTGAAGCATTTCTTCAAAGGACTGTAACAGGACATAAAACATGGTTCTACAGTATGATCCTGAAGACAAAGCACAATCAAAGCAATGACTACCAGGAGGTGGCAGTGGTCCAGTCAAAGCACAAGTGGACTAGTGAAGAGGAAAGGACACTGCAATGGTTTTTTGGTATGCTGAGGCATGTTGCTTGTTGACTTTATGGAGAACCAAAGAACAATAACACCTGCTTATTAAGAGAGTTTTTTCAGAATGTCAGCGAATGCTTTAGCAGGAAAGTACCTGAGAAAACTTCTACTGGGAGTCCTTCTCCACCATGTAAATGTTCCTGTTCATTCCTCTCATCAAATGAGAGCAATTTTGTTAGAGTTTCAGTGGAAACTCATTAGAAATCCACCTTATAATCCTTATTTGGCTACTCCTAATTTTTGTTTCCTAATCTTAAAAAGGGCACCCATTTTTCCTCACTTAATAATGTAAAAAAGATTGCACTGACATGGTTAAATTCCTAAGACCCCTGGTTCTTTGAGGAGCAACTAAATGGCTGGTATCATCATATACAAAAGTGTCTTGAACATGATGAAACTTATGTGAGAAATAAAGTTTATGTTCTTTATTTTTATCTTTTAATCTAGTTTTTCTATGAACATGGTGACATTCCCTCGTATAAAAACCTTCTCAAATACATGGAGTGAAGGAAATGCTTCCCTAGTTGATCATGACTTAGTAGATGCATAAACTGGATGTCATTCTGGAGTTTAAATCTGGGGAAAAGCCTTATCCTTAGGCTTCTGACATTTGTGAAAGTAAAATATCAAAATGGTGGATCTGTTCCAAACATGATATAAAGAGCAAAAAATCTGAGACAAGCCAGAAGACCACAGCTATTGACACAACCTAGCACCCATCAGTCACATGCCTCTGAGTAAGTGGTCCAATTTTCTTGAACCTTGGAAAATGAAAGTACTGCCTACCCCAGGCACACAAAGGGCTATCTCAGAGGATCCAACACCCATATGCAGAAAAAGTATTCAGGAAACTGAAGGCATTATCTCTTCTCTTCATTTTTGCTTTCTTCTCTGAGCTACAGGTTTTGGGATACTTTGCTCTCTGTCACTTCCCCCTGGAGCTACCCTTTGCCAACTCCTCAGGTAGAGGAAGGATAACATGCCAACCCTTTCTACAATCCTAATTCACTTCCTCCTGAGTCCCCATCAAAACCAACAAGCACCCACATAACTTAGTAGCATGGTCAAAACTGATATTCTCAAAAAAGAAAGAAAAGTCAAGAGACACCTTCGCTTGTCTTCTTCCTAGACACACCTCCAAAGACAACTAGTATTAGTGACAGGTGAAGCCAGCTGGACTTCCTGGGTCGAGTGGAGACTTGGAGAACTTTTCTGTCTAGCTATTGGACTGTAAATGCACCAATCAGTGCTCTGTGTCTAGCTAAAGGATTGTAAATGCACCAGTCAGCACTCTGTAAAAATGCACGAATCAGTGCTCTGTGTCTAAAGGATTGTAAACACACCAATCAGCAATCTGTAAAAACACACCAATCAGCACTCCGTGTCTAGCTAAAGGATTGTAAACACACCAATCAGCACTCTGTACAATGGACCAATTGGCGCTCTGTAAAATGGACCAACCAGCAGAACATCGGTGGGGACAAATGAGGGAATAAAAGCTGGCCACCCAAACCAGCAGCGACAACCCACTCAAGTCCCCTTCCATGTTGTGGAAGCTTTGTTCTTTTGCTCTTCATAATAAAATCTTGTTGCTGCCCACTCTTTGGGTCTGCACCAACTTTAACAGCTGTAACACTCACGGTGAGGGTCTGCAGCTTCATTCCTGAAGTCAGCAAGACCACAAACCCACCAGGAGGAACAAACAACTCTGGATGCACCACCTTTAAGAGTTGTAACACTCACTGCGAGGTCCGCAGCTTCATTCTTGAAGTCAGTGAGACCAAGAACCCACCAGAAGGGAAGGGACACATTAGGAATAAGGCCATCCTTTTTAAAACACATGAGAAACAACTAAACTTATAGCTGACCAAGAAACACTTTCCTCTATTTAGAGTCACTAACTTCTGTCAGGATAATTCAAATACTCTGTGTATCATATTCTAACAAGAAAGATAAAAATGTAAATTGAACAAATTAATCTTAAACTGAACAACTAAAGTAAGTGAATACAGACTTAGGAGTAAACAATATTGTTAAAAATGATTCAAATATGTCTTTAAAAATTCATTTTTGCAATACCAAGGAAATCTGAATGAAGAAGTCTCCAATACCAAGGATACCTGATGCGATATCAAGAAATTGTTAATGTCTTTGGTGAGTTTTATGGTTATGTTTAAAGGTTCATATTTTTTCAAAGATTCACAAAGACATTCGTAGAAGTAAAAGGACATGACTTCTAGGATTTGCTCTATAATAATTCAGCAAAAAAAGACAGATGGATCAATTATGGCCAGACCAGGACAATTATTAAACTTGAGGGACAAATTTACAACCATTTACTGCAGTATACTCTCTCTTTCATATAGGTTTGAAATTTCTCCCAATAAGTTTGTAAAGAAAAACAATAAAGGTATTTTCTATCAAGCACTGGCTTATCTCAGATATATCAAGGAGTACAGAAAATGCATCATTTGCCGGGCATGGTGGCTCAAGCCTGTAATCCCAGCACTTTGGGAGGCCGAGACGGGCGGATCACGAGGTCAGGAGATCGAGACCATCCTGGCTAACACGGTGAAACCCCGTCTCTACTAAAAAATACAAAAAACTAGCCGGGCGAGGTGGCGGCGCCTATAGTCCCAGCTACTCGGGAGGCTGAGGCAGGAGAATGGCGGGAACCCGGGAGGCGGAGCTTGCAGTGAGCTGAGATCTGGCCACTGCACTCCAGCCTGGGCGACAGAGCGAGACTCCGTCTCAAAAAAAAAAAAAAAAGAAAATGCATCATTTTACCTTTCCTAAACTTTTGCAATATAGATAACTGGGAATAAAATCAGGAAAACCAAAATGTTTCCATATTCTCCTGACAGAAAGATGAGCCTCTGGGGACAATTACTTGAAAGGCTCAGTTGTATAATTCTGGAAACAGAATGTGGCAACTACTAGTACTATTCAGAACTAAGAGCAGTCAAGTGCTATCCTGGGATGTGGACATTTACAGAGCACTTTTCCTTTTATCTTAACCAATGCTCCATTCTCACATGGTGCTTTGCAGCCACTGGGGCACACACAAATTGTCCTTGCGCACTGGTTTTCGAAAGTTTAAAACACAAAGAAGTGTTGCTGATGTATGCTTTTATTTACCACTACAAAAAAACTTTACCACAATTAACAGGAAAAGATCATTAATTCCACACCAAAATTAAGTCAAGTTGTTGTGTTAAAAGTAAGTTTCTAAGATGCTACTATACCAAATACCCCGAAAAGCCATGCAAACCATCCTAGGTGGACCACTTTATAATACTTGACAGCGTTCCTAGAGAGTTTATGTTGAAAGTGATACAGCAGAAAACAGAGATTATAGGAGCTTGAAATATTTTCATTTGTTAAAAGGTAAAAATATAAATAAATCAGGAAGTAAAGGATACGTATCCCATTCATGCCTGAAATCTTGAAGTCGTCAATGAGCTGGACCACCATGTCTTTGTTTGGGTCACTGGGATCACTTTCTCGAACCTATGCCAAGAAAAAGGAATGCAAGAACACAGAGTTTAAGACAAAGCACGTTTTCCCATTATAACAGCAATACTGTTTAAATACAAGTGTGTTTTAAAATAAAAAATCATCACAAAGTTATAAAGAATAAACTTGATTTATTTTCATTTTTATTTTTTATTATGAGACAGAGTCTTGCTCTACAGCCCAGTCTGGAGTGCAGTGGTACGATCTCAGCTCACTGCAACCTCTGCCTCCCAAGTTCAAGTGATACCCATGCCTCAGCCACCCAAGTAGCTGAGATTACAGACGCCCACCACCATGCCTGGCTATTTTTTTGTATTTTTAGTAGAGACGGGGTTTCACCATGTTTGCCAGGCTCGTCTTGAACTCTTGACCTCAAGTGATCTGCTCACCTTGGCCTCCCAAAGTGCTGAGATTATAGGCATGAGCCACCATGCCCAGCCAAACTTGACTTTAATTTAGTATTACCCAGAAAAACCTTTCTGTAAAATTTTTAATTCATTAAATTTTCTTATATCATTCACATTTTTAAAGTACTTACACATTTGAGCAATTTTATTTCATCCAAGGCTGTCTCCGTATAATGCTGGGCACTTTTTACAACTTTCATTGCAACAAATCTTTTCCCCCTTTTAAAAAAAAAAAAAAAAGTATTTATATTATCAGTGAAAGAAATCATTAGTATTCAGGTTGAGCATCCGTAATTGGAAAATGTAAAATCCAAAATGCCCCAAAACCTAAAATATTATGAGTGTGTCGACATGACGCCACAGTGTAAAATTCCAACTCTGACTGCAATCAAAACTCAGTAAAAGCTTTGTATGTTGCACAAGATTATTTAAAATGTTGTATAAAACTGCCTTCAGGCTATGTATATACGGTGTATATGAAATACAATGAATTTTGTGTTTAGATCTGGGTCACATCTCTAAGGTCATTGTGTATATACACAAATATTCCAAAATCCAAAACACTTCTGGTCTCAAAGCATTTCAGATAAGGGATATTCAACTTGTATGAGATCTATCCAATAAACAAAAACATAAGCTTTCCTTTAAAATAGTACTTTTCAAATGGTGGGGCCACATTAAATAGTTGTATGGGTCAAGACAGTCTCTTTTATGCTTTGTTGTTTTGTTTTTCCCCTAATTAAAACAAGACTAGAAAAATACCAGAATTATCACAAATATTACTCACCAACCTAATAGTGAAAACCACTCTCCTCTAACACTTTTGTTTCAGAACACACACACATACGCACAAAATACATGTGTGTATATGCGGAGTAGCAATGAAGCTTCTTACTATGTGTCATGGCTTTGAAAAGTTAGAAATGACTGATTTGAAAAGCCTATACACTGAAAAGCCTATACTATACATTATGTTTGTCTGATATGGATGAATTACTAGAAAAATAATATAATCCCAATGTAAAACAATTTCAGTGAATTAACTTTGAAATAAAGCTGGAAGCAAGTAATATTTTAAGATTTCAAATGAACTTCAAACTAAGGCAGTGGGGCAGAAAGGAATCTAGCCAGCTGAGGCAGGCCTGTGCTAAGCACTTCACATACCTCAACAAAGCAGTGATGACCCTCAGCCATACCTTCTTAGAACACATATGTTGAACTACTCCAGGAAACAAATGCACAAATGACAAAGAACACTTACTGCATATCCCAGCACAGCCAGACAGTAGAGAAGTGCCCCCATCCAAGCTTTCTAATAACATGATACCGGCCATTGAAGAGGTCTCCAATTTTCACTGGATGATAGCCACCTTAAAAAGAAAGAAAAAAATTCAAAATACTGGAAAAGTAGTAAAAACATTTCATCTCTTTTGTCAATTCTTGATATCATTAAAGAAAGCTCTACATAACACACGCAGACTAAAACACGTTTACTAATACATTTTTTTCAGGAATATCTTTCAACAAGAAAAAGTGTTGGCTTTTCTTGTTGGAAAAGGTGGCTCACACCTGTAATCTCAGCACTTTGGGAGGCTGAGGCAGGTGGATGACTTCAGGTCAGGAGTTCGAGACTAGCCTGGCCAACATGGTGAAACCCGGTCTCTAGTAAAAATACAAAAATCAGCGGGGCATGGTGGCGAGCACCTGTAGTCCCAGCTACTTAGGAGGCTGAGGGGAGAGAATCACTTGAACCTGGGAGGTGGAGGCTGCAATGATCCTGAGCAAAAAGTGTCCAACTGCAATCCAGCCTGAGCAAAAAGTGTTCTATTGATTCCTATTAGACTTCTTGTTTTAATTTAAGGAGGCAATGAACCATCCAGCACACCGTAACAATAACTTGAGGTTCCCTATTTACTTATTTTACTTATTTATTTTTAAGACAGGGTCTCACTCTGCTGTCTAGACTGGAGTACAATGGCAAGATCTCAGCTCACTGCAACCTCTGATTCCCAGGCTCAAGAGGTCCTCCCACCTCAGCCTCCCAAGTAGCTGGAACTACAGGCACACACCACCATGCCCAGATAATTTTTGTACTTTTTGTAGAGACAGGGTTTCACGACATTACCCAGGCTGGTCTTGAACTCCTAGACTCAAGCAATCCGTAAGTCTGCCCTCCCAAAATGCTGGGATCATAGGCATGAGCCACCACGCTTGGCCAAGGTTCTGTATTTCAACCTAGGTGTGTACGTTATGCACACACCAGGTCTTGGTATTTAAAGACTTTTTTCTCCTAAACAAGTTAAATTCAAATCTTTTTGGATATGTATAAGAAAACTGACAAAAATAAACAATCTTTACTCTGTATAATTCTGCATGCATCAATAGTTTATTCGTAACTAACTAGAAACTGTACAATGCATGTCTTAATTTACGTTCTAATAGGGCTTGTTCCTCTCATCACTATTCTGCCAACTTCTAACTCCTTCCTGGAAACATTCCTTACAAATGAAGAAATGAGGCGGGGCACAGTGGCTCATGCCTGTAATCCCAGCACTTTGGGAGGCCAAGGTGGGCAGATCACCTGAGGTCCGGAGTTCGAGAGACCAGCCTGGCCAAGATGGTGAAACCCCGTCTCTATTAAAAATACAAAAAATTAGTCAGATGTGGTGGCAAACGCCTGTAATCTCAGCTACTCGGAAGGCCGATGAAGAAGAATTGCTTGAACCCAGAAAGCAGAGGTTGCAGTGAGCCAAGATTGCACCATTGCACTCCAGCCTGGGCGACAGAGTGAGACTTCACCTCAACAAAAAAAAAAAAAAAAAAAAAAAAGAAAGAAAGAAGAAGAAGAAAGAAAGGAAAGGAAGAAATCAGTTATAGAGGGACAGAGGACACCCTATTAAGGTAGATTCTTGAGGGGAAGTAGGGTGCCTCACTGATATCTGGCACGGGAAGTTCTTTGCTTTCCATTTTTAAGCAAAATAAGCAAGCTACAAACTAGCGCAGATAATATGGTATACTTTTTGTGAAATACAGAGGATAAGATTTTAGCAATGGACATTCCTAGGTATAAAATTACTCTTACTCTCTTTATCTATATTTTATTCTTTTTAGCTATGCTTTTTCAATTTCTTCAATTTTTCTAAAACAATATTTTACTACTTTTTTACATTGGAAACAGATTTTTAATTCTTTTAACGTTTGCTTTTTAATTGTAAAGACATCTATTTCTCTTTTAATCTGCAGAATTCTTACAAATTACTCAGTAAAGATGTGGATGGCTTGTGCCTCGTCTTAAGAGGTCTAAAGCAGGTGTAGGAAGTATCTAACCAGATCCTTCAATATATTCCCAGGGGGCTCTCAATAACACGTCAAGAATATATTTATGAATATTTAAATTGTGTTGGATTATTCCTATGTGAAGCAGGAATGTGACCAGCTACTGAGTTCCTGAGATTCTCACCCTTCTATTGCCTTTGCACTTGCTTTTCCTGGATTTGAATCTCAAGGTGTATGACAACATTTTGGCTAAATATATGAACTAAATGATAGTGAATTAGGAATAAAATGTATTATTAAATGTCTTACTACTTAGAAGATTAAACTAAAATTAATTAAAAAGATGAGCTCTGAGTTTATAATACAGTTATTTATTTATTTATATTTTTTGACAACTGAGTTTTGCTCCATCACCCAGGCTAGAGTTCACTGGCCATCTTGGCGCACTGCAACCTCTGTCTCCTGGGTTCAAGCCATTCTCCTGCCTCAGTCTCCCGTGTAGCTGGAATTACAGGCTTGCACCACCACACCCGGCTAATTTTTGTGTTTTCAGCAGAGTTAGGGTTTTGCCATGCTGACAGGCTAATCTGTAACTCCTGACCTCAGGTGATCCACCCACCTTGGCCTCCCAAAGTGCTGGGATTACAGGCATAAGCCACCGCGCCCAGCCTACAATACAGTTTTGAAACCATTAAAATTAACATTCAAAGCAGGAAATGAAACTGTTTATCCGGTATGAATTAGGAACACTGTGCTAGGCACTTTATTTTCAAAACCATGTTCCATGAAACAAAAATAAACTATAATATACTGCAGGTGTTCGATAGGGGATCAGGGCAGTGGGAAGGAAGAAGGGAGAAGTTCTGTTAGAGAAACGCAGTGTTGAACAAAGAAAACCAGATTTCTTGACCATAGGCCTAATGTTTTAATACAGAGTGAGAACCTTTAAGAGAACAGAAAATGCTGCGTATTCCTGACATATGTGTTCATGGAATTATTTCTTCAGAGACCTAGTTGCATTTTATAACACAAGTATTTAGGAAAGACTGATCTATCATAATTCTTGAAACCACTCTACAAAGTAGATGGTATTATTTTTACACTGCTACAGAGAACACCAAGTATCACAGATTATGAAGTACTAGGTTCAGGGCTAGAAACTAGGTCTGACTCCAAAACCCATGTTTTGTCAACTAGTAAGAAATACACTCCAATTTTAATAACTAGAGGACTGCTTCCTGGTCTTAGTACACAGAAAACATGGGATGTCTTAATTAAAATCTATATACTACTTAAACATACATTATTGCTAATATTTGTCTCTAAATTTAAAAATAATTTATGCATAAAAAGAAATCTATATCACACTAGTATATGTTTCAGATTCAAATTCTCAATTAGCCAAAGTGTGTACATGTGAGCAAAAACAGAGGAGCACTATTTCCAAAGTAATCACAGCATAAGCACAGCAGCTTCTTTTCTCAAGGGCTTTGAAAGCTAACAACAACAAAATTACTAGTGGAGTACAGTATCCCTGAAGCCCTCAGTCTAGCTAAAACTATTATCTCTATAAAAAGGCAAACTACACAAGAGATGCGGGCTAGCTCTGTCACCCAGGCTGGGCAGTAGAGCAGCACAAACAGGGCTCACTGCATCCTCGAACTCCTGGGTTCAAGCAACCTTCTCAACTCAGCCTCCAAGAAGTATATACCACCATGCCTGGCTAGTAATAACATTTTTTTAAAAAAAAACAACTATAAAACACTTAACTTACTTCTAATTTTCAAAATGTGATATACACAATTTCAAGTCTATGTATATTCTCATATTGTAACTCCTGGTTTCCTACAAAATTAGTATCTTCTGACCATTCATTTTTCATTCCCTTCTCACATAATGGCACCTTGCTCACAGGGCATCTCCTCTAACATCCATGCTGCCAGAAGAGTGGTCCGTATCTCCATGCACCAGACCACACTAACCTAACTAACAACCAGGGAATCAGAGAAAATGAACACTCCAGTAACTCCACCAGAAATGACCCCAATTCCTTGGGCTTAGTTAACTGTGTGCACTATAATGGCTATTAGCAATGGACACCCCAAGGTGTACCACGTTGCCCAGCACACAAGAAAACAAGTACAGTTACTAGACAAAGACTCAAACTTTATTCAGTTCGCTGCTTCACCAGAGGACAGAAAAGGAGTATGGGACAATAACAGTGCTATGGACCCTGCTAACAGCATTAGGCAGGGTGCCAGAAAGTCTCAGGTACTTGAAGATCACCATGACTTAAGGGTTTGGTGGATACACCTGTGCACTTCACTATTTGTACTATTTAATATAAAAACCATGCATTTATCAAAGTTGTTTTTCTTTTTTTTTGTTTTGGCTTCTCAAAAAACAAATCTTAGCCGGGTGCAGTGGCTCACACCTGTAATCCTAGCACTTTGGAAGGCTAAGGCAGGAGGATTGTTTGAGCCCGAGAGTTCGATACCAGACTGGGCAATACAGTGAGACCCTGTTTCTAAAAGAAAAAAAAAATCTTATCAGATTACAAACACGAAGAGATCAAGAATGAACTGTTAAGTAACCATTAAATTCATTGCTCTGGTTTCTTCTACTTCCATGCCTCCAGCACAGCCAAGATTTCTGTAACTAAAACTCTACCTAAGATAGTAAAAAGAATCCAAAGAAGAAAAATGTTAAAACTCTCCTTTTTAGCTATTTGGGTGACTTGCTAGCCAAAGATAAAGATTCCCTTTTCCTTGTCTAGCAAAAAATAGATTCTATTTATAGAGTTAACCAGAAGTTCAGAATTCCATGACAGACAATGTTCTGGAAGTATTTTCAACAAAGTCTCTTTATTTTCTTAATAAAGATAATATTAAGTGTCACCCGAGCTCTGCTGAGAGTGGTTTCTCAGCCTTCTGATTGGGCGGTGTCTCTATATAACCACTGAAAACTTTCAAAGTACTAGGGAAAGCTGAGAATCACCCCCAACACACACAATGATTGAAAAAAGGAGGAGCCAGGCACAGTGGCTCAAGCCTGTAATCCCAGCATTTTGGGAGGCCGAGATGGGTGGATCACG